GGGCTCTCCCTTGGTATACGCATAGGCATCGGGACCGTAGTGTTGCCCTGGCTTCCCATCTTACGGATCTAGCTCCGACTTCCCTCACTTTAGGAATCATTTGCATGATTCCCTCACCCATCATCTTTCTACCCTTCGCCGGCCCTCACACCCTAGTTAGGCAGCCCCGAGTGCTTCATTTAGGTGCGCCCAGTATACCAGGCTCCCCTGTTCCTTTGCATGGTCGACCCTCCATAGCGGTCATCCCTTAGTCGAGCATTACCCGCCCTGATGGTCTATCTGTTAGGGTCATTGGTTATGTTCGCTCTCAGTTCCCTACCCTCATTGAGCCTGATGACATGTGTCTCCCTGTTATCTATGTGTGGATGCCCTTAGGAGTTTTCGACCCCTAGGCTGCATTCGCCACCCTTAGAGACCATCCCACCCTTTGGTTTGCGACACACTTCTCATGTGACATATGATAGACTTGTTGCTTTGTTGCTCGCAGACTGAGGCTAATGCCTCTGACATCTCTAGGATTTAGTTGTTCTGCTTTTGATGTTCTTAGGACTTATTCACTAGTCAGTTGTTACCAGACTGAGGCTAGTGCCTCCAACATTCTAGGATCTAGTTGTCACTACTTTCTACTTTCCTAGGACATGTATGCTAGTTAGTTGCTTTTGCTTTCCTAGGACATGTATGCTAGTTAGTTGCTTCTGCTTTCACTTAGGCTGTTAGCTGTGACAATGTTGTTTTGTGACATTTTATATCCTAGGTTGCATCACATGGACTCAGCATGGAGCTTGCTCCGCATCCTAGACTACTCAGGTTTTCTTTTCTTTGGTAGAGTTCCCTTGGCGGAAGCATGTTTGTATCTAGGCGATCCATCACAGGCCGAGGATCGTGTAGCGGACCTCGGGTTGGCCTGTGAGACCAGCCCCTTGGCCTGTTCTCACAGGCCTGTGTTGTATTCGGGGTAGGCCAGTCCAGGCCGGTACCTCTGTCGATACCAGCCAGTCCAGTCCAGTCCCGTCAGTCCGCTGGGGTATACCCCAGCCATTGTCT